GTATGCATTTCTGTTCTGAAAATGTCGGTCACGGAGGTACAGACGAAAGTTTAGCACAGGTTCATCGGGCTGGCTGGATGTTCTCAGAGGACTTCTTGGTACAATCCAACCTTATTTACTCCTCTTTTGGTTTCCGGTGGTACCGGTTGGCGAATTCCGTCCAAATGACTTTTTAATCAATCGCAAGTTCGAGTTACAATCCAGCAGTCGTTTTCCGTTTCTGACGCTCATTTCACGAATTCCTTCCAACCAACTTCTCCTCCGAACCGGAAAGTCGAGCCATATTGGGTCGCCTACTGTCAAAGTGACAGGTTTACGTCACGCCAACATCAGCCCCGTCTGTCTGTTTCAGTGAACTGGCGCGGTTGTAAGTTTAAAGATGACGATGTCGTGGGCCTCAAAAACGCGGTTGAGTGGACGTAAGGTGGTCAGGACTATGGCGGCATTTCATTGGATGGAGCAGGATGAATCAGGCCTACCGGCCAATCAGAGTGCAGCAGACTATGCGCCAATTACAAAGCGGTACAGCCTGTTCAGTTGAGACGACAGACAGCCCGAGACATTGCGAGACGGTGGGGCGAGAGATTTCACGTTTTTTCACACTGCGCCGCAGTTCCAGTCTCATTGCCCCATTTTCCGGCTCTTGCCGTCTTGCTGCATGCTGCTGGGACAACTGGTGCCGCTCCCTTTTCCACTTTGTCCCGCTTCTCAGTCGTTCCTCTCGGCCGCCGTCGCCACCACCACCACCAGCACCATCACTGCGCCCCCCTCGACTTCCGGACATGCCAGCGCCGACCTGACGAAGGCCCGCGCGCCGGAGCCCGGCTTTGTCGAGGTTGCCGATTTGGCCGAGCTGCTTCGCTCCAGTCATGCCTGCTCCGGTCTTGCCGGACGGCTGGTCAACTCGCTGACCGCCACTTCCGGTTGCCATGACGTCGAGACGGCCTCGTTGCTGGCCGCGCCGCCGAGCTCGCCAGTGGCTGCTGGTCCGGCTTCGGGCCAGCGTGTGCAGTGCTACCTCTGCGACCTGCCCCGATTCCCCTGGGCCATGCTGACGGAGTTCAGCGAGCCGGTCTGCCGCGGCTGCGTCAACTACGAAGGCGTGGAGCGGATCGAGCGCGTCCTGGTCCGAGCGCGCCGGTTGAAATGGCTGCTGGTGCATGCGGCGCCGACGACCGCCGGCGGCGGCTGCGTCGAGGCAGCCGAGCCGCCTGGCCTGGCTGGGCCGTGCCAATTGGACGAGACGGTCAAGCGCTCTGATTGGTCCAATCTCGGATCGATCGAGTCGCTGCCGGAAGCTGGCGCGGCCAAGTCGCAGTCGACTGTCGAGGCGGCCGGCTCGTCAGTTCACCGAAGCCTGCTGGCCCAATGGCTGGCCGCCAGCGCCGCCGGCGCCGCCGCTTCGCCGGGCGTCTTCAACGCCCAACTTGTCTCCGCCTACCTGCGACTGCTCGCTTCCACGCCAGTGGCGTCAACGTCGACGACAACGGCGACGGCGACGGCGACGGCGACGGTGATGGCGACGGATGAAGACGAGCACGGCGTCGCGAACACGCCCGATCTGCTGCAGCATCCGATCTCGCCGATGCCGACGGCTCTGCTGGCCGGTCTGGCGAGTCTGGAGGCGCCGTTTCTGCTGCGTCTTCGCCACCGGCCGGCCGTGCAGGCCGTCTTCCACGGCCTGACGG